TTTTAAAAATTGCAATAATATCGTATCGTGCGTTAAGTATTGTGATAATATCGTATCGTGGGATGTATGGTGATTCCCACCTCTAGTAAGAACAGGACATCTCAACATCACCTCTCATGTTCTTCCCTGGAGAACCCCGTTTACACTCCTCTCTTCAGGAATGTGAAACGTAGTCTCACGCTCTCACCTGTCCCTCACATCTGCCTGATATATACAATCCACGTCCCCAGTTTGTTTCCTTCGAGCTGGCTATGCTGGGATTACTTTGCTGTCATGATGAGGTATGCAACCCCTTTTTCATGAGTTGCTGTGGGGGAGCATGATCACCCATGCTGGGCCCGTTTGAGTAATGGCTGTCTAGAGGGAGTAATCTTTTGTTCCTCTGCCTAAACTGTGCTGGTCCACTCCACCCCCCATCCCACCAGCAGCCATCACTCCCTTCCAGGATTTCTTTGTCTGCTTCCACAGAGGCATCACACCATGGCAGTCTTTATGGGAATGCAACCACATTTCTGAGGATGCAGTCGTGTTCTCAGCATCTTCTATTTTGATATTGATTAAAGATTTTACCCCATAAAAAGCGACATAACATTTATTTATTTTAACTTTAATAGTTAGTCAATGTTGAATCAAAGGATTGCCCTAGTATGACCACAAGGCTTTGAACTCTCTCGGCAACTGTTTGTGTTTTATGTTAAAACATGTTTTATGTTTTTGAATACGTGTTGCTATGATACATGCTGTTAAAAATAATTCAAACGAAAAGTTTTCAGTGTATAACATCCGCAGAAAAAACTGTGTTTGGCTCCTTTGACCGTGTAGGCCAAGGCTTGAAGTAACGTTAGCAGTTTTTCTGCTCATTCACAGCTTGAGTGAGCGAACACTTAGTTTGATTAGAAGTTTTGAATTTATTGATCGAAATGTGAAAATACTCCACTGCCTAGCCATTAACATCTGCTGCACTTTCATCATTATCTGTTCCTGCAAATGACGAATTCAGTGGAGACTTCCAAGTAATCAAGGCGATTGATGGTTAGTTGATTCCCAGGCAGTAACTTCCATACAAATCAGGCACATTAGCAACAAATACACAGAAACAAATGTGATAAAGGCAACGTGACGGTTGTCATAGAACATGGACAGAACGTTGAACAGCTGTAAATTCACACAGAAGAAACTAT